TCCATCTAAGAGACAAATTGTTAACGAAAAAAATAAGATGATTCAGATGAATCAAAATTAAAAAACCGCCCTCTTATTACACAAGCACAATATGTGCACCACTACTAAAAAATCCACGTGCGCAAGAGAAAAAAAAAAAAAAAAAACAAAATCAATCCAAGCTAAAAAACGGGATTCTATGTGTTGCTAGGCGAAGATCAAAAAATTCTAAAATAACTCTTAATTACTGTCGTCATTTTTGAAACATGGGCGATCGTTGTCGATAATGCCTGTAGCGTCCTCCCGATTTCTCTTTAATAGTTAATGCTGAATTTGTTGCATAAACCGAGTACATTTTTTCCCCTTGAATGTTATTTCATAAGCAGATGTATGTATTTCATATAGATGTGCACATATCTTGCTGATGTCTTATGCCCTTCATATGTTCCTACTACCCGTTTATTTGAATTCATAGGAGTCCCCAAACTGAGTGGCCCCGGGGATATAATTCATTTCGATGCATAGAATAAATGGGGATTTTCTGAAAGTAACAGATAAAAACAGTCCTGCAATTTGTCTACTTCAAATTAGTGTACCTCGTATTTTGTGCCTAATGGGGGCTATCCAAAAATTGCAGTCTTAATTTTTTTTTGATCAAAGCTATGGAAAGCATCATAGTTGCTTCTACTTAGTTCTACAATGGTGTTCTTTTTTTTTCACTAAAAGTTACTGTTCACAACATGTTTCACAGTAAGAATTTCTACAGGCTAACCACCATGGTGACATAAAAATAGCGCCAACATAATAATCATTATGCTGTACCTCTTTTCGCCGGAACTGGTGAGATGTCATATCTTATGTTTTCACTTTTACGTTTGAAAGGATTAAATCCACACGATTTATTAGAACATCACATATTTTAGATGACCACATGAGTTGTTCACTTTTGTCCCGTTCTAATTCCCCACTTTGTATTCTTTTGTATTTATAAAAACGCCCATTACCTCTAATTACACAAAACTACACATTGAAATAGTTTCTTCTTAGCAAGCACTCTAACGCAACAGAATCCATAAAGAAAGATTCCCTCTCCCTCCTTATGCAGACGATATCTAGTATTACCTAATGTGAGCCTATTTCCAAGGCAACCTTATGGCCCCGTCACATCCATGATGATTCGGATTCAATCTCATTGAGTGGTATAAATACTATCCCTGGAATTTTCATCATCTCAAAATGAGGTACAATATATGGGAACACATGTCACAACCTCTTATCAATAGAAGACGCAACTGCACATCTCTTAGAGTAACATAAAAGCTATCTTATGAGAAAAAAATTTAACCCTTCAACAAACTCTTACAGGGATGATGCATCGCATAGCATGGGCCATTTGCAAGATGAACCATTTTTATCAACATTTAAAGGTCATATAAAAGAAAAAAAAAAAAAAAAAAGAAACCTATTGCCTCATGCAATTCTACAAGAAATAGACATCTTTATAATAGTGCAAAAGAATTCTAAAAATAATTCTATTGCTCATATTGATTTAAATATAATTGTTATAGAATCAAATTCCAGATCTTTGCATTAAGAATGTATAAAAAAAATTTTCATTAGATTTTGGAATTCATAAGATTTATGAAAAAAATGGAGAACACAAGAAAACAGTTCAAGTATGGCATGACAAAACAGCACATTAGTACGGTATGTAAGAAACGATAAGCTTGTACATATGCATGTAACATCATTTTCTTCTTCTTTTCCTCCAACATTTTAAATCGCTACGCGCTTAAATGGGTCTAGAACTGGTATATCCTGAGAATAAATGATGCGTTTTTTGTTCGCCTTATTTGTAACATGGCAATTTAATTTTTAAAGAATAAATCGTCAATTTTGTTCTATAACTGAAAATATATTTACACACTTAGATACATTTATAAACTTCCCTCAGACAAAGGCGTTATTTAAAATGAAAACAATTTATTCGCAAAGGATTTTTTTTTTCCCCCCCTCTGCTGTAACCAAAAGGTTCTTCGCGAAATGTAAAGAACGAAGCACAGGGGTAATATGCTACCTGCATTAAACTCATTTACTATATTTGCCTCCCTTAGAATATTTATGTGATACCGCAATTTTTTTTTTTTTCATTTATTCGTATAAAGAGTAGCAAACCATATTGTCATCTTTTGAAGCGCGTAAAAAAGTTTAGCTCCATTTAGCCCTTTAAAGATTTCTTTGAGGAATATTTTTACGATTGTTTATTTATCCATGCGTCATTTCCTTCCCCGTTATTTCCTTTCTTCTGAAACGTCTCTCTTGTTCATTTGTTTCTTCTCTTTTAGCTTTCTAAGTACGAATGTGATAGGAGTCGCTAGTTCATCTTACTAATACTGCCATCGATGTTGGCATAAGCGTAAGTATTAACCTATCTCTTCTCTGGATCATAATATCCTGGTAGAGTGAGAAAAAATGACTGTCAGTTTCTAGCAAGAGAAAACACTTCTATATTACATATATGTACACCGTATTAATTTTCATTTGGGTGGTCCGCATGGAAATAACACTAAACAGAGGAAGAATCTAGAGAGCTCCGATAATTAATTTTTTAAACGCATAGTTGTTGTCCCTGCAGCTGCTGTCTCGCGCGGCGCACGAAGACACGAGAATTTAGGTACCTACATACTTATACACAGATATGTATGCATAGAAGAATGCTACCTGTAAGTATGCAAAAATCCTTTCCTCCTCGTATATATTTGCCTCATCATCAATGAAATAAGACCAATGAGGGAGGGGGAACATTCATTTCGCGGATAAAGAGGCCTAGAGTTTTTAAAACTGAAATGGCTAAATAGCTCGCAATGAATCCCCCCATATGGCACATTTAAATTTCTCCCTACAATGAGTTCCTGTCCAATTTGCACAACAAAAATTGTGCCATGTACATTTTTCTTTCTTTTCCAAAAAAGAAAAAAAAAAAAAAAAAGGATATATATACCTGTTGCGCCTGCTTTGACCGAAGAGAAAAAGGTTTCATTTGCACCTAACGCGTACTGTAAATGAATCGAGAAGGTGTTTGTGTCTGTTTGTGTGGGGAAGTACTCTGAACAAATGTCATGAATTCCTAATACCATATCATGATCGTTATATAAGCGCGGTTCATCTTTTCACCTGAAGTAAGACATTATTTAATAAAACCCTTTAAGTCATAGCATAGGAACTATAGGTGTAGAAGTATAGCGCGGCTTGGGTCCTACTAGTTCACCCTCTTGATCGTTCTCCTTGATGTGCTTCATATATACGTAGATACATGTGTACATGCATGCTAATGCGCATTGTTTCTCCGAAGTGTAAATGTTGGTCTGGCAGGTAAGCAGACTCTGAGAAGATAGGCATCTTCCTTGTATGAGCCGCCTGCTAATTTGAACTTCCCCTTCTCTGCCAATTTCAGATTGCAATTTCGTGATCATGCAGGTAATATAGCAGCCTGTGAGAGGAAAAAATTAAGAGAGTAACTCGTAATTTGATCATGAAAAAAGTCATTACTTAAGAAATTTCTTATCTTAAAATATTGCGCGTCACAGTTCTGAAAAAATAAGGATGACAATTACTACACCTTTTAACACCCTCACTCTCATTTGAAACAGAAAACTCTGCTGAACTTTATTAATATTATTATTACTATTATCTTATTTTTTTTTTTTCAGATAACACATTGCATAAGCTCGAACACTGAGATTCCCGGTGGGTGCTCTTCGGTCAAACAAATCCAAGTGTGAATTATGAAATTGTTGAAGAAAAGAAATAAATGCTTATCCTAATTATTTGTGATGTCCATGTCGAATGAATTAACTATTTTTTTAGCTTTCATAATGACTGTGCTTTCTAAATAGAACCAAGCCTACGACAGATATGGTTCACATATTAATGTTCCTGCAAATGTGGAGAAGCTGCTTGTGTAAGAGAAAAATAAAAACATTGTATTAGCTCTAACTGCAGTGCCACTTCGATTACCCAGGCACATGTTAACCTCTGCGAAAAAGAATCAAACTTAAGAGTGATATTATGCCGTATGTGCAAACTCCTGAAAAAATTCGTCACAAAAGAAGAATGACATCGTCACACATCTGAATAATTTTCCTTTTTTATGATAACAAATCGAAAGAGCCAAATACAGAGAAGAACACACCACATCATTTCTTAATTCAGTTATTATTCCATTCATTTAAATATGCCTCTCTAGATAGCAATTTTGTGTTCCGCCGAGAAATAGCAGGTTTTTTACTAAAGAATGAAACAATGTTTAGCTGCATATTTTTCCCCATCCCTCGCAATAGTGTAGAAAAAAGGTAGTCATTCAGTTGGATAATAAAGAATACAGCAAGAAAGTGCACACCTTTCAATGCTCTAAAGGGGGATTCTTTCCTTTTAATTACCCTTAGCAAGCGCCCTCGCGAATGTGTTAAAAGAGAATCATCCGTTTGAAGCGTTTCATAACCATTTCATAATTGTGAGAGTTCTTCAGCATAATGGATAACAATATGTTAATTTTTTCAAAGACAAAATTAATAATATAGACAGTGATGTATCTACGTATTTTATCTAGACTTCACAATTGACTAAGCACACAAAACGTATATCATTCTTGCAGAAACATGGCGAAATAGAATAGCGGTGAAATGAAAAAGGCGACAGGATAATTCACCCATAAAGGTCAATCTCAGGAAAGATATATACAAAGAAAAAAAAGAACGAATTAGAAAAAAAAAGACGATGCAGTATTGAAATTGGACCTATACTAGTGACATTAGTTTCTTTCAAAGGCGCCCACAAAAATTTGGACCTATTATATACAAATCTATCATTCATCCACGTTTTCGCAAACCAGAAAAGCGTATTATGCAAATACTTTTTAACTTCTAAACAGAACATTCCTAAACTAATAGTAAGTGCCTAAATTATAATTTGAAGGCTTCATAAGAATCACATTGGGAAATGGACCCGACTGCTCTCATCAATTAAAAGAGATCCAAATAGTCAAACAAAACTCTGTGTCCCTCCTTAAGAAATCTAGATATTTTCCCACCTCTTTTTTCTGCTCTATTTAGCTTTCTTCTCTTTTTTCCAAATACACGTTCGAATTGTTTTCTGTTTAAACGTTTCCGGTATTTCCAAGCTGCTATCATAGCAAAGCTACACACCAAAAGACAACAATAAAGGCATTTGAAGCAAAATAGAGCAAGGACTATAATTATCAATGTAACAATTGGGGCAAACGGCAGATAGTTTATCACTTTTACCATAAAGCTATCTCTCTTCACATTATATATTTTTTCTTCTCCGTAAAAATTCTTTAATTTTATATTTACACTATTCCTTTGGTGATTCCTTTGTCTCTGTAGATCTGCTTTGACATTCATCCATTCCTCCTCTCCTTGGGGTGCATGATCTCTATCCGTAGACCTCTTAGGTGTGTCCATATCTATATCGAATCCGTGTGTAGACCTTCCACTTTTAAAATCTCCCATGTCGCTGTCCAGATTAGTTTCTGAGCAATTATTACTGAAGCCGATTTTCGATAACTGATCATCTCCGTATAAACTATTTTCGCTAGTGGATAAATCTTTTTGGAAATTATTTTTTAAGGCAGCATTTAGCATTTCTTCGAATCCCTCTTCTACATGAGACAAATCTTCTCCTGACACATCATCTTCAGATATTCCATCCCTTAAGCCATCCCACATGGGGGTCTTGTTATTTAGCTCTCCTTGACATGCTACGGATTCTTCGCTGTCATAAAGGTCATCCTCGGATTCATTACTTGGTTCTAGAGATTCACTACTTGCTTCTAGAGATTCACTACCTGCTGCTAGGGATTCACTACTTGCTGATAGAGATCCATTACGTGCTGATAGAGATTCGCTACGTGCTGATAAAGATTCACTACTCGATGCTAAAGATTCATAGCTGCTCGTGGATGCCTCGTTGATTGCTAAATCAGATGTGGAGTTTTCGTTGTACCATATGTAAGATCCTTCTCGGTAAGCGCACTAAACAGAGGAGGAAAAGGAAGATGTTACGCAGACGGCGTAATGTATAGCCCACGCAGGAGCATATTATGTACAAGTCTATTTATTTTATAGACTGCCTATTTTTTTTTCTATTCATATTCCCATTCAGGCTCAGAAGCGTAGCACATTTCGTAAGGATCACAACCAGGGCTCCTCAACCACAGCTTATCTTACCTTAGTCGAACTCAGATATGCCAATAGGAAAATGGAACACAGGAAAACTTTCCTTAAACAAATGAAACCAATAACTATTCCTTTCATATGACATTTCCTTCAAGTTGGGACGTCAAAATGAAATAAAAAAATAAGTCGTCCCTTTTCTTTGTGGTAAAATAACTCCAATACACGGCTTAATACTTGATGGATTCAAAATAATCCCAAACACCTTTCCTTTTTTTTTTTTTTTATACCCATTAGTTAAATTATAACTTTTTTTTTCTTTTTTACTTTTCTAAAATTCGTTCTCGTGATAAAACAATTCAGAAAAAGAAAAAAAAAAACCCAAACCGCAAAATATAGAATTAACAAGATTCCATGGGGAAAACAAGTTTCTGTAGGTTGAAATATCTCCACGCCCCGATGCCACTTATTGTTACAAGGACTGTGATTTAAGATCAAAGCAAGGTGAGAATCTAGCATGTAAATCAAACTGCATGCATCGATAATATGATACATGCGTATAGTAACCATGATTGCGGATCCGTATATATGTAATTAGTTCTATACATAAAATCTTTCTTGCAATTTTTAATTATCTCTAGACAAGGTTCCATAAATAAATACAAAAGAATTTTTATATTTTTATTGCAATATTCTTATAACATTGGTGATAGTAGAACTCATATTATTGATGCTCGTTTGATCGCTATATTTATTTTCATGCTATATAGACTCTATTGCAGAAATGAGAGAAATATCACTTTTATTCCCCACGGGCCCATTGTATAGAATGAATTTACCTGTTGAAGATATTTTATTGAGTATGAAATTAAAACATAATATATTTATTACCTAATTATTCATCGAATTATTTATTACCCCGTTTCTGTCTCGTTCACCAACTGTTTAGTTTTAATTGACTGAAGGATATAGCAGTTTTTGTATTTATTAAAGATTAAATAAAAGTAATAAATAGAAGAAAAAAAGAAGTCCTATAATTTTTATGAACTATTCTATAGATATTCTCTCAAAAAAAATTCATCAATGAATAATATCAACTCCTGTAATATAATTACGAAGTATTACTTCTTGAAATTACTTCAAATATATATTCATAGAATTTTTGTGCTTGAAGAAATTTCATTATTAGTAGTACATAAGGATTTAGTACTACTAAAATTAAAATTTGGATGTAAGTATGTTTATCTTGCTAGGAATGGATCAAGATGTATACATATATATGTGTGATCATGGAAATATAGAATGTTACACATAGCCTGAAACATAGCCATATTAGTAAATATATAGATGAATATAACATCGTTCTAAGAAAGGAATACAGAAAAGGAGAAATTATAGGGAAGAAGAAGAAATATGTTTTCCAGATTAATAAAGAGTTCCATATTCATCCTGATAAAATATATCTTGTTCTATTCCCACCATATAATGCTCCATAAGAATTAGAAGGTATGCCAGAAATGTGTTGTTGATTGTGGCGCTCTATACGTATGCATATAATCGACCTGAGTAAAATCTTCCCGTTATATATGCATATATTCATATGTACGAAAACAGTACAGGTTTGTACCATTTAGCCAATGAGGACGATTTACGAATTTACATATCTCCACCCCGTTAACCATCATTTTCAGAGTATCTTTTCTGGACATCACCAGGAGGAACAGAAGGAATATGTTATCCTGAACTTCGCTTCCGAAGGAGCTCCCTTGCATAAAATTGACACCAGACAGAAGGCGCCTTTGTTTAAGAAGGTTAAAGGGCTAGGAAGTTAGAAGAATATTTTTTACATAATGATAAGGGAAATACGAATAAAATGAATTCCAAGGAAAAAGAAGACGTACCCCTTGGGAGATGACATGAGTATACATTACATGATAATTGTGTTGGAAAAAATTCTATTACCTCAACGAGAAGCGATACAGAAAAAATTGAAAGAGTGGGAAGAAAATTCCATAACAATGGTGGATCAATGAGAGAATCGACGTGGAAAAAAGTGAAAAATACTTTATTAGAAAACGGGTCAAACAGAAGAGAAAATGAGAGAAGCCCAGTAGAAAGTGAAAAAAGAAAAATAAAAAGACACACAAGGAAGACACGAAACACACTAGAATCATTGAAGCATAATATGTTGAACAACCCTTTCGTAAAAGAAATAATATTGAGCCAATTACAAGATATGTCATTAGGCAGAGACTTCAAAGCTGAATAGATATAAAAAGTATTAAACAGAAAATTGCCAATGGGTACGTTAGGTGGTGTAACCATGCTAAAAGAATTGGAAAATATTATAGTAGGAAATAAAGTAGTCAATGGGCCCAAATTAGAAGTTTTGAAAAAAATTATACTGAGCGATGAACTGATAGGGAACAGACCATCGGATCAGTTGAAAACATTTCTGTCTGACCTAATGAGTGATAATTCAAATTTAAAAGAAAAGGTGTGAATACCTAGACAAGACTATTTAAGTAAAGTTCCAGTGAATAATAAATGCATGTTGTTGGAGAAGAATGATTTGCTAGAAAGAATTAAAAAAGGAGGAAAGAATCTCTCTCCAAATAAAAGTAACTGAAATATAAGGAGGATGATACAATACCGCTTACCACGGAATCAATACAAGAAGCTAATACAACAGATGAAGTTGCTGTTAAACAAATATTCGCAGGAGAGCGAAAAATTGTTGCTCCAAAGGAACATGATTAAGAAGGGAAGGATGATTTACTTCAAGATAATTAATAATTGTTGCTGCGGTATTCAATATTCATTTGTCTGCCACCCTCAATGGCGTCCATATCAAGAGTGCTGAATCCAAGAGTTTAGTGAGCAGAGAGATATTTCCTCAAATACGCTTCACGTTATCTCCAATATGTAGAAAAAAATAACAGATTTCAGGGACTATGTAGTGAATATAGAATGAGGAAACTACAGTCGTCTGGATCAATTTGTGAATGAGTCCAAAGGAGGCTGAGGAAATTCCGTTTCCTTTACGACCTGTTCCATTGGGAGTGTTTACATTTGGAGTCCTTATGCCGGCACGTGTACCGTCTAAATTATTTCAGTTTATCCTCGTGTACTGAGACTTTTCTTATCTGGACTCCTTGTGTTTCTATTCTTGGCTCACTTCTGAATAGATACCTCTGGAAAACAGATAATTTTCCCTTGGTATTATGGATGGCTTAGGAAGCATATTACAGAAAATAGCAGACTACAATTATTATAGTATGCTATGTAGTTAAAGGGAAAAAAAAAGAAATGAAGATTCAGAAGACACTTGTGAAAACTTAAGAAGAATTTCTCCTAATAGAGAAAGGACTGATACGAACACAACATGATAATATTAATTTAAGAAAATGTCATGATAAGAGAGGGAAGATGGAATTATATGGAAAAAAAAGACCATTAACAGTCCACGAAAACTACATGCATATCCCTCTATTCTTCTAGAATATCGCTGTTAGAAATATGCCAATCATACTGAACGAATTTGTAGAGAAAATATGTTAAGTAATTACTGCGTGGATTATACAGAATGTTCATATATGAAATAAATGTTTAAATTATGGTTAATGCCAGAGGAAAATTTATTTAATCAAATACTACATTGATGTAGTGATTTACACACAAATTACCATCCAAGAGATGAATCGTATACAAATAGTGTCCATAATATGGCATCATAATATTAGGACATTGCGGGTGTGTACCTATACATCTAATTTAGGAACTACGCCGTCTAAGAAATGTGAATGGATAAGATTGTTCACATTCATGTTTGTGCTTCCTGTGTATAGATGGTAACAACATGAGTTCAACTTCTTGTATGCATGTCTAAAAGGACTACTAAAGTTCGTTTAGCATCTGAATTTCTTCTTTGTATTTTTTGGAAACGGGAGGACGAAAAATGGTCTTGGATATATTTCAGGATTACCCGCAGGAACATGTCTTACCAATAAGAGGGTGAAAACTGTTCACACTTTATCTTTGCATAAAATATATGTTTACAATGTGCAAAAATTTCATGTACATTAGAGTTTACTTCTGGCTTATGCTATCACCAACTTGTGGACATATAATTTATATACGTTCAAAAAATCTTCAAAACATGGAACATTGTAGGCATATAGTTACTGTTGCTTAGTGATACTATGAAAATGTTCTTTCCACAATAAGTGCGAAGTAATGGGCAAAAAGATAGTAACATACATTTGATTCAATTATATGTAGTTATATGATAACTTTAGACTCATCCAATGCATTATGGTAAGAACTAATTAGCATTCTCTAATATATCGTAGAATGTAAGACAAAACATGCACATTGCATAAAGTGAAAGAATACTCACACGATGTACGTATGTAAGACGATTTCTCCTATATTAATACAAAATGGATAAACACCATTTGAGAGTTATGTAATAAGGTTTCGAAAAATAAAGAAAGAGATCAATCCCCTTTTAAAGAGTTCTCTACCTTTAACATTTGGAGAAAGTTAATAAATTACATAAGGAGTTCTTATACGAAAAGGATATTTATAAGAGAAAATTGTGAATTCTTATATTTTAATGAATGTATACCATAAAAAAATGAGCGCGAAAATAACACGAACTTTGTAAATCTGGTACGAATACAGCAGTTATTTCTACTTCATATTTAACAGCTCTAATCGTGTTGAGAACCATATCAAACTTAAATATTTATTCGAACAACTCTTTAAATTTCTGACGTTTTAATTTGTATTCTTAACTTATAGAATGTTTAAACTGTGTGCACATACGTAATGCTTATAATAATTTATACATATCGTAGTGATCGCGCATTTTTTCGTACTTTCAGAAAACATTATACAGATGCCATGGAAAATAAGCAGCATATGTAACACGTGGCTAAAATCACTCATTAAAACAGGCATCGCCTTTAAATATTGCACATAATGTGTTCCACTACTGTTATAACCATAATGTCTGCCCAGGCAGAGGTATCTTATGGTTTCTAGTGAAATGTAACAATTTGTTTTGAAAGGATCTGTGTTGTATATGAAATAGGAAATATGTGTTGAGGATGACTTGTTGAAGATTTATTATTACTAATTGGAGCTTTGAATGTAATTTGTTTCACGATGTATGAAAGGTCTATGTAACTTCTGCATATACACACTCATCATATCTTTACATCTCAAAGTTGACTTCGTAGATGTTATCTCCAGAGTTAAAATCCATATTCGAATCTGTAATATCTGTTAATTCTTCCTAATTATTATTATCTGAATCTAAAAATTTTTCCACGTTATCATAAGCATATGAATCATGAAATGGACAATTATTATTATTGCCCTGCTTGGATCCGCTAGAAATGTATTTTTTAAAGAGTTTTGCAACCATGTGCAATCTGTTTCATTTTGTATATCAAATTCATCATGATATTTCAATAAACCGAAGTGATCATCAAGATGATCACTATCTAATAACACATCAATGTCTTTTCCCGGAATTTCATCTATCATTCATTCGTTAAATAGTTCTGCAGATGTCGTATAATTTGAGTCAAAAACATTCATTACCTTCTCTTCTGAAGTAGCATAAATTTCTATATATTCTTCAGGACCGCTACATCTGTTAGTACTATAGTGGCCTCCGTACCGAACGGCTCATTACTGCTTTTGTTCATGTTACATGTGTTTTCATAGACATAGGACTAGAATATAAGGGGTATATTTCATATTATAAATGATTATATTCTGCATGTACGTTCATATGAATTATATATTAAAATAGACATGTAAGTTGTAATGAACACGCGAAATTCTTCATAAATCTGTTTGTATCTAATTTCATGAGTATTTTCTCGAGTACATTTAGACAGGGAAACTGTGGAAACTTGTAACAAAAGAATGAAGTTCTACATGGTTTATCCTTCATGCTGGTTGCGTTCAACATTAATACACCACCCATATGGGAATAACGTAGAGTATAAAAGATTTTTTCATTTATAGCATCTAATAGTACTTGTATGATACTTTTATCTTTCTCGTAATATAATTATTTTCCTTTCTTCTTTTTTTAACTCCTGTTTCATACTTATTAGATAATACATGCAATATAGAAATTGTTGAGATACGTGCATGTAGAACAAAGTTATCTTCAATAAATACTTGTCCGTATAAGCTTAGTTTAGAGTGAATGAGAATTCCTGAAAATAATTTGAAGTGAGATGTATCATTAATACTTGTACGTACAGGAAATCTATTTTTAATGCATCTTCTAAAGGGAGCAGTTAAAATATAAGAAGATTATATGTAGCTTTGTAGTATATTGTGCTTTATAAGTACTTGTGATAAATTCGTTTTGACGGGTGGTTAAGTCTGTAATATTTGTTTTTTTTTTTATTTTTTTTTTGTTTCATTTACCCAAGTTGGTATCTTAAGAAACGTACTTTTTTATATACCACACGGGATTCTGCTGAAGACGCTGGATTCGTAGAATCAATGATGACATAATGAAATTACCCTTGCAGTTACTCGTATTCAGTATATATTTTCCCTCATAGTGCAGTGAATTCTACGGAAGTTATTATACCATCTTAATTCGTGCCGTTATGGCGTCGAGTGGAACTAGACGAAGTAAATGCTATTTGGATGCGTTGGTTTGTAGGCGCTAATCCTTCTCTACCACCGGCAATGGGGCACGCCGAATCGTACAGCATTTTGCGAACAGCTCTTAAGGGAGATATGCCCACAGGGTTATCAGGGACAAACGGTTCAAGGATTTTCAACTAAGGTCAAAAAATCATTCAGGGTGTAATTCAAAATATACTTCAGGGTACAATTCAAAACATAATTCGAAACATAATTCGAAACTTAATTCAAAACATAATTCAGAATGCAACACGAAGTCTAGTTCAAAATGTAATTCAAAATGAAAGAAAGACAATTCAAGAAATAGATATGGCCCCCCTTGGATGTGCGCACGGAAAGTGCCGTGAAGGAGCCCAGAAAAAATGTGTCACTAAGGAGGGCAGGCCCCATTTGAGAAGACATGGCATCAGGAACATCTCAACAGCTGACGACGCTTTGGCCAAGAATGAACTAGCAGGACGGGTGTGCGTTTTTCCAAGTTTCAGTGACATTTGGGAGGTGTTCATGTTATCAAAGGAGCAGAAGCACTCCTGTAACACCTCGGTTGACTTTCTTTCCATGCTCTGAGTAAAATAGGCCCACGACGCCCGCTTATATTTCAAGTACCGCTGAAATTCCCACCTGGCACATAGAATAGCATCACTAGCGAACTGCTTAATATTTTTCATTTCAAATTTCTCTCTTATCAATAACATCTTTATCATTTTATCGTGAACATATCTAAATTGGTTGTGTGCATACTCGGGGGGTACACAATAATTGTCAGCCAGGGCTATACATGTTTCTCGAACATCCTCCAACATCCAGATATATTTATTCCTTTCATGATCGTGAAAATAATTCCACACGAAAATCATCGTCGCAGCATCTACAGGTCCTTTTAATTGATCAATCTTCTCGTACAATTCTTCATCAGTCGTCTTTTGGGAGTCCTGATTTTTAAAAAGCATCACATTTTTGATCCGTGTTGTTTTTTCCTTTTCTGTCAGCACCTTGTCGTATTTTTTCCAGAAACTTCCTTTCATATCATTATATATTTCGGGAATCAGCAGGGAGCGATCTGTATCTACGCCACTATGTCCGTCTGCGTAAAGCGGCTCTTCCTCGTCCTCTGTTAAATAAGGTATTCTCAATTCTTTCACATCAGATCGAATACGTCCAGAGAGACTTCTGCAACTCCTGTCATTTGGCAAATTAAGAACTTTCTGATGATTATGGCTTGGCTCACCAGGGGAATGTACATTCTGCAGAAGTAGATGAGGGTAAATGATGTCTCTGGGGGAGCGTTACTGTTTTAGGAGTGTTCAGAAATCACTTCCTCTAACTGATGAAAGCAAAAGGACAAAGGCGAGTGGATTGGCAGAAAAAAAAAAAAGCAAGAGAAATAGGAAAAAAGAAATAGAACACCATTTCCCCTCTTACTAACCTGTATCAGGGCGTATAAACAGGACAAAGCCAGCGCGCAGAAAACGATGTCAGAAAAGGGTGAAAACCCGGAGGGTTTCCTCTCCTCCTTCATCGCTCGTAATTTTTTTCTGATACCCTAATGAATTCTTCTTTGGAGAGTCCTCCTTAAGTTGATGCTCCTTCCTAATTAGAAATGTTAGAGGGTACGCCAGTCTCAGCATTTGCGAATAACATTCGAGCCGTTTGTATTTGTTCCTTTCTGGAGATAGAAATTATTCTTCTGATTATTTCTGTTCCACAACACTCAGTGAGTTTTAAGAAATAATTTTTTCCTTTGCTTTACAGAAAGGAAAAGTTTCTGATTAGCGACGACTCAAAAAGGAAACATTTGTACAGTCCACATTTGAGGAAATTAAATATGATAAAATACAGCGGAGTGGGATAGCGACAACTCGTCTTATAGTCTGAGGGATATAAAATAGAAATAATTTTGACGGAACCCTGAGCAGAAAAATAAGTAATAAATAGGGGCTAAACTGTGGACGAATTCAGGAACTGTTCATACTTTTTTGGCATGCAAACATGCATGTTCAGAAAAACTGTCTAAAAATGTATGAACAATTCAGAAAAAAAAAAAAAAAAAGAACACTCGGGACGAACCCCTAAATATATATCTACCTGTCAAAGAATGAATTATACTAAACGTAATTGCATAAAATCCTTTTAAAATGGAAATGAAGCATCATTGAAATAGACAAACCAGTTTTTTTTGTCCTCTCCTATTACTTTGAGGCTCAATCTTAAGACAATAGAGCACATTTCTTCTTTTGCATATATATATATATTATGCATATGTTTACATGGTGACCATTCACTCCGCGTGGCGGAGAGACTCAGAGAAAAAGCGATGTTTATCACGGGCGCGTCATTAACGTCTCAAGAAAAAAACGTCTCGCACTTTGTGGTGGCTAAATACATTTTGACGTACATATAAATGAGCTTCGTGCACCGTTCCGATCCGATATGTAACCTGCAGCAAAACAGGAAAGAGAATTCTCTCCCTGGAAGGAGAAAATGCATCTTAAAAAAAAAAGCTACTCTTAAGGAAAAAAGGATTATACCATTCTTGCCATAAAAAGAAAAATTGACAAAACTGTTCAAAGGAATAAACATATAAGTTTGGTCAGATATCGGGACTCTTTCCTGATTTTATTTTCATTTTTCATCTGAGGAATCTAACAGTAAAGATATATATACCCCCTTTCTGAGAATTATTTTTTTTCGCATTCACTGGTGCCTATATCTTTGGACCTTGCAATAGCACTGTGGCCTTATTCTGGCCAGTTCCAGAATCATACGGTGGGGATGTATAAACCGGAATGTCTCTTTTTGCCAGTTCGGCCATCATTCTTGAAAGTCTTTTCTTGCATAAGATTTATTACTGGGAAAAGAGAAGAATGGAATAAAATGGAAGAGTAAGGAAAAAAAGCCGAACACCCGAGAATTCTT